TACACAACACTGTTTTTAAATAAAAAATTGAACACTTTTCATGTGTTTTGGTTGTTCGTTTATGTTTCAGAGGCCTGAAAACGCAAACTTTATAAAACGGGTTTCAAATAAATGTTTTAAAATGTTACCGTTATCGCCTCTATGTACACTACAAAAACTTGGATTTTGTCTGGAATGAAGAAAATGAAGACCAACTGATCAACATGAGTCATATTCAAAATGGTAAACAAGCACTACTTTTTTTAACGGGTTTTATCTCTACAATCTTAGTTTTGGTTGCCCTTTTTGAACAATGAATATAGACTACCGCCACCTGCTGGTATAGACAGTTATTTCCTCTCAAGCAGGCACAGAACGTACATTCTAGTTGGCCATTGGCTGTGTACAAGTGCAACTTTTTGGCCTAGATGCAGATGAGGCAACAACAAGTCGGCTTTCGTCGCCGCTAATTCTTTTACGTTTGTTTGGTGTGTCAGGGGCTTTAAGGGAGAAAAAAAAAGCTTTAACACAAAGGTCTTGGGCTTTGGTTCCTCATAAAACAGAATCTGTATACTAAGTGATTTGGGCCAAATTAATTACTGAAGTGTGAATACTTCAGTTTAGAGGTTTAGAGAAAACGAGGGTTTAAGATAAATGTCAGAAGATAAATGTCAGGTTGGGGCGAGGGTTCAAAAGCAAAGTTTACTGGAAAATGAATTTGCATTTTCAAAACGTAATCAACTCGCCATGTAAAAGCACTTCTCGTTCTGTAATAACATGATGCCTGTGTTTATATCTCATCAAATCAATCCATTATGCGTTCTCTTGAAGCCTGGACATGTTTTGAGGTGGCAAAGGGAATTTATTCCCTTCACCAGCCTGTCATTTTATCCCTGAGAGGGGTTATGGCACCTGTTCACCTCAGTCTCTCTCTCTTTCTTTCTCTCTCCACCAGGTTCCAGTCTGCTGATCAAAGGCAGCAGGGTTCGCCACAAATCCACTGCGTGACCACAGCAACTGCAAGCTGATCCTGTGTCCAGTAGGAAGCGACACGCACACAAACAGACTCCACAATCATGTGCTCTTTCACTGTCATAACACGCAAGATTGATTTATCATCGTTCAACTGCCTCCGACTCTGCCTACAAAAGCATTTCCATATCCATCCTTATGCCTGCATCGATTGCTATTCACCTCTGACTGATAAACTGCTACTTCATGCCTGGCCACTGTTTAATGTGGTACTCCAGTAGGATACACCCGACTGCTGAGACTCTGGGATGCTGACTGAGTAATCGATGCTCAGAGGTGGACTGAGCTGAGATTGAGCCCATTTACATTTGTCAAGAAGCCCCTCTCAGACTCTCCTTTGAGCTTCAATGCTCATTAAGGAGCCATAAGGAGCATCAGCAGTATCACCAGTATCTGACGAGATGGTCTCCATGTCGATTCCAGTGTAAATGTTATAGGAAAGGATGGCTAAAAAGCATATTAGTATCATGAGCGTTGACTGTGCCCTGCATGGCAGAATGCAGTAAGTGCTGATGAGTATAATCACATACTCGGCTGAGATCTTAGGAAGATGTATGTGTCCTCTGCAGGGAACACATTTGACTCTATGAGCCTGGGTAATTTACCCACTGAAAGGCCTAGGAGAGATATGTTTTGTTGTTGTTGTTTTTCCCAGATAAATAACTACAGCAGGAAACACCTGCGAGAGAGTCGCTATTACCTAAAATGCACTGAATCAGACAGAAAAACAGTGCAATTTTTAATGTTTAAGTGGGGGTGGATCTCACAAAAAACATGTTCTATGTAAAAATTAACCGCAAAAGAGAAAAGAAAAAAAAGATGAAAAAAGACAATGACATATTGCATTTTTACATAAAACACAGCCTTTTTTAGGATATTTACATTTTTTACATTATTTTCATGATTATTATTATTATTACCTCTTTGGAAATTTTATTTAAAAAAAAATGTCATCCTAATTTTTTTCAATGGCGAATTTCATGAGATTCTCAATACAATAATTTATCTTTAATCAGTTTAAAGTAAATACTAACATAATGAATACATACTTAAAATTATTTATATATTATTTGTATATTTACATTACAATACTTATACAATTATAATTACAATAACATACTATTTTAAATTTGTATTTTATTTACATGAATGAAAACAGGGGAAGGTGTGCTTAATTGTCATGCAAAAAATCATTTTCCTATTGCACGTTACTAATCTTATTGTTCATAATTAATGAATGCCTGTTATTTTTAAGAAGAAAAAAAATTGTATGATATACCAACTAACGTTTTGGGCGATTCATTCAGTGATGTGTGGAATGAAAGTCTCTCCACTTAAAAACACTTTCCACTGACAAAAACTCCCTTAAAACTGAGTAAACAAACATGCTAGTATACTTCGCTCTTCTTTCCTAAATTGTAGTTTCAATGATTTTGCTAGTGCTTGCTATTGATGTCATGAAACACATGAGCTTGGGTCTAGATTCTATTTGTTTCTCATCTGTTTTTCAGTTGCACAGACAGAAGAGCAGGCTGAGGACTCTCTCAAAGGAAAACATCCTCTAGCCACACTTGGGGATGTATACCAGGGCACAGAGTGATATGAGTGCTTTCCCCGATCCCTGCCTATTTCAAGGATTCTCACAAATCCTAGCTAAACAACCCCAGGCTAGAAAACATGCATCATGTAGCTAAAAGCTTTACCAGCCCTCTCATACACTTGAGACAGAAAGAGAAACATCAGTTGGTCAGAACGCATTAGACACTTTCCACGATTAGGGTACCTGTCGCTTTATACCACAAACCACAATAATAAATAATAATAATCAACTATTAGGCTGATGATACACGGGGCAACTTTTGAGCAATATTGCTGGGCAACTTTGGTTAATGTTGGCGTCAACAAGCAACCAGGTGAGACACAGGGCCCACGACTGATTTAAAGTATCCATATAGAAATGTGTTACCCATTCTCAGTGGGAAAGTGCCCAAACAACATTGCTCAAAAATATTTGCCCTGTGTATCATCAGCTTTAGCTTTGTTACATAAATTATTATCTTTCAATTAACTTTAGGCTATGCCACCTGTCACTCTAAATTCTTAAGTATCACTGATATACAATTTTTTTTTGCAATATTGTTAAGAGTGAAAATTTTAAGGGGGTCTGAATACTTTCCGTACCCACTGTATATATAAAGCTGATCACTTCTTAGTGTTCTCAAGGGCATTAAATAGAAGAGAACGACTCTTTTCTAATACATAGCGAGCTGTTATACTGTCTGAAAATTCATAGTGGATTCCAATATGTTGCTAAGTTAATGCCTCAAAACTCTAATCAACACACAAAAAAAGATACATACAATTGGGTGTAGCAGTGCATTTCTAACTAGATGGAATTACATTCTATCAATGTGTTTCCGTAGTCAGAGTACAATCTACATTTTCTTAGTAATAAACATCTAATCCTGGGTTTGCCTTATCAGCACGATACCGTTTTTTCAGAACCGATCCCGATCCAATACCAAAAGTTCTGAGTATCGGACGATACCGATCAGATGCCAGCACAGTTTTTTTTTATTTCTATACCTCAGTGTGTGTTGACCTGATCATCATTCTTTTGTGTATTACACACATCTACTAAATATAGACAACTTCATTATAAAGAAAAATAACAAATTAAAAAAATATATAATCATAATCTATGAGAAAAATACTATTATAAACTAGGTTCGTTGATAATTCAGCAGCAAAAGTTGCACTACAAAAATGATGATGAGTTCACAATAATTGTATAAAATCTAAACATTTAGAGAAAATACATTATTTAGTGGGGGGAAAAAAATAAAAGTAAATAGGTGTAATCTGGTAAAATATCACATTGCTCTTTGCATTGTAATATACAGTACATTCATGAAAAACAAGTAAATATAATTATAAATATATGTAATAAATTAAATACATTTCTTTTACATTTATAGCACAGTAATGAGGCAGCAACATTGATAAGACAGGACAAGAAAGGCTATTAATAATCTTTCATTGCGCAAAAGTATTTTAACATGATGAAAGGCTCCTGAGCGGCACAAAGCGCATTCCATGCGCAGAATTGTAGCGCTACACAAAAATAAGTTCAAAGCACAAAAGGAAGAGATTTTGATGCATAGTGTATTATATCTGTGCGATAGTTTATAGAGCCTTTTCTTTTAACAGTTTTAAATTTCAGTCCTGCTCCCGCAAGATTCTGTCCCGCGCCCCCCCGCTCCCGCAGAAATATATCTTATCTGGTCCCGCTCCCGCCCACGACATTCATGTTTTGTCCCGCTCCCGCCCGCAAAAGCGAGAGTCCCCTGAATCATTTTATTCTCCCGCATCCCGCACACCCAAAAGTCTCTTGCCGCCCGCGCCCGCACTCGCCCATCAAGAGTTGTCCCGCGCCGCACCCTGTTGCGTTGGGTCCCGCGGGTCCCGTGGTACTCCCGCGGGAGTGCAGGTCACTAGAATGCTGAATGGAGGATGACTGACAGCCGCAGCGGTGAGAAGAGTTTACGTGAACTTGAATTTAACGACTTAAATATTCATCTGTACCTCACATTAAACTATGGAACGGTCTCAGAACACTTAAAATATAGTGCACAGAAACTTTATGGTGCTTTTATAATGTTTTTGTGCCTTTCGTTGGGCTTAACAATAACACACAATATCGGCTTTGGATCGGTCTCATCTGACCGATACTCCGATCCAGCAAAAAGTGGCATTATCGGAGCGATACCGATCCTGAATATCGGATCGGCGCACACCTACTTATCAGCAAATGAAACTGCCTGAGATTTTGGCCAAAACAAGATCTCCAAGTCTACTGTTTGGGACAGCCTTGTTCTTGAGAATACACCTATGAAACAGAGCAAATATTTATCACCACATGGACCATGACTCTGCCATAGAATTGCACAATGTAATGGCAACAGGGTCAGTCCCTCTGGAGCAAACTTACCAGCCTGTATCTTTAACCACCATGTTATACCACACTTCATAGAGTGCTGTAGTGATGACATAATTTTGTAGGTCAACCTGGAAGTTAGTATCAACCTGGTTCCCCCTACAAAAAACCAATAGGGTTCGCTTTTGGATTATTGCAGAAATTAAGCTCTGGGACCAACAAGTTTGATTCTTACACATTTAGTTCATCAAGATAATTCATACAAATGAAAACAACTGTTATGAATGTTGAAGCCCAAAGTAAAAAGCTAAAAGTAGGCTATAAACGAACTACACCACAGTCGCATAACTTCAGAATCACTATTACCAAGCTTCCGACGACTCTTTCAATCTTTATTTGAAAACATTTTCCCAGAAGGTTTGAGTTAGAATAGTTTACAAGAGCATGCTTATTAACACCACAAGGCTCTGAAAGTGGACAAGAGAGCAGATGAATTAACCTGTTTGACGTGATGACATTTCATGACCCCAACAACCTTTATAGTCCCATTTAGCCAGAAACTGCCATTTTCCAGACAAGAAAAAGCTTTAAAAAATGATGCATTTTTTAAAAATAAAATCTAAGTATATATCTTGGGCTTGTGTTAACCTGGCTCAGACCATTAACCAAAAACTCATACATTTTTTTGTTTTTTTTACGGCTTTCATCTTTTGGCCTACAACAATATACCATCTTTGCAGCACTCTGTTAGTCCAATTGGTTTTCTTGAGCATCCCAACGGAAGCATTTATTGGCATAAGTTAAATTAGTCATATATATTTGCATGTGTATTATAAAGGATTATATTTAATATAAACAATACTCATCTGACAAATAGCCAGCTAAATCAAAGCATGCATTACATTTCCTCAAAGGGATGTGGTGTCTAAATTCTGATTCCTCCCGTGTCCCGTAGACTCCTCTTTACTCCCTGATGGGCATCTGGCTCATTACGAGCTTTGTCATCTCTCCATGTCGACTGTTATGACTTTGACAGCTTCTAATGAAATTTTTCCTCACAAATGTTACCTGCCTTTATGTCCTGTCACTCTCCCTCTCTCTAATGAGCAGCACCTCACAATTTGAGGTCATGGTGACATTTTGGTCCCTGCGATTTCCCCCTCTTCTCTCAGCAGGGGCTTTCGGAGAAAGTCATCCCACGCTCATGGCCTGGATATTGATATTTCCGTCAGTAGTTTCAGCTCCTTGCGACCAAGTGGCCACTCTTTTTTTTCAGAGAACGGCATCCATGTCATGTCATTCTATGTATTTCAGTGTCTCGGAGGGGAGGCAGCATTCATGATGCAGTGTTATTGAAGGTTGGAATTATTTTTTGATAACGGATTGTTCTTTTATGCCGTTTTTCCTTGTCTTTTGGCTGAATTTGAAAGCAGTGTGAAAGAAACAGGGAAAAATGGGGGGAAGTGTGAAGACTGTAAACATGCTGCTGTCATGTAGAACAGTGCTGCTGTGCGACTGGGGTGGATGCTCGTTTGACACGGCCGCCACATGGGAAGTCATCGCCTGCGAGCCTGACAGTGCCTGCTACAAACATGACACAATTCCCCGCCTCGCATCTGCTACCGCTACATTGTATGCCGTTAGTGTAGATGGATGGGTGAATAAACAGTGCAGAAACAAAACATTGCTTTTAGGAGATTTGCTTTGTTTATTCACTTTTGTCATTATTAGCACTTTCAATGAGTAGACTGCAAAATAAGACTTAAAACTAATTCTATTTTTTTTCTAATACTTGTACTTTTTTTTCTTTTCAATAAATACTTGAAACAAAATAAACATTAACTGAAATAAAATTAAAACTAAAGAAAAAAAACTAAATAAATAAACATTTATGTCGGCTAGTTTGTCGAGGCAACATTTATCATTTTTATTTAGTTGAAGTTGAAGTGATAAAATAACTATATATATATATATAAAAAAAAAAACGTTTACGGCACAGCCAATTTTACATTTAGTTCTTGGTAAATGTTAACTTTGGACCCTGCTAGGGAGGTTTGTCCCATCATGCCTGGGAGTTTATGCAGTTGTGCCTATTTTGTGCAACTACAGTGACCTACGGTGGTAGCAAACTCGTTTCATATTTCTTATAATAACTGCCGATCTCACAGTTTCAAACACTGGACTGTGTCTTTCAGACAAGAGAGGTTACTTTGTGAGAACTAGCCTCCGGGTGGCCGACGAATATAAATTTGGAGAAAAAGGGGGATAAAGTAATAAAATATAATCATACTGAATTAATTCATATCATCACAGGTCCAGCGAGTCAGAAAAAGTGACCTAGAGTCAACAGGGAGAGCGGAGAGGGGGAAAGGGTGGCACAATTTGATTAAGGGTATTCAGATGTACCCTTGACTCTCGCTCCAGAGGATTGTGGGTGAATAAAGAAAGCTTGAAGGCCTCTTCTACTGAAGAGCTGAATGGCATTAAAGTTATTATTCATTCTGTGAGCGCGCACAGAGAGAACACTAACACTGTCATATTAAAATTTTATATAAAGCTCCTGTCACTGAGACGGTTTGATGCAAGTTTTCCACTGAAAAACAAATTATCTGTTCCTACAGTAAAATGTCAGTGTAACCAAAGCACCCCTACTTTAATAAATACCACAGAATCATGGCAATCAGTAATGCATGATGGGAAATGTAGTCCGGGGTGCTATGCAACAGTTTGTGTGGTGCGAGAGTCAATGAAAAGGAAAGTTCATGGACCGGATTCGTGACAACTACATGGTCAAAGATCTCAACAGTGTTGTATTACTGAATCAGATTTTAGTTGTCCTACAGCATGGAGACTTTCATCTTACAGACGGCATAGACCTCTTTGGCAGCTATTATGCAATACAGCGGAATTAATTGCTTTCTTTAAATGTCTGGATGTTAACAGCGGTATTCCACTGATGCCTCATAGATGGTTATCTTCAGGTTTCGCTCGCCTGCTTTCTTTCTTTTTTCTTTCTTTTTTCTTTCCCTCACACCCAATCCAGTCTCTTGCACTTTCTTTCTGGCAGGGGGCAAATGATTCCTGATTTGAAATAGTCTATGCTGCCTTTCAGGCGGGACAGATCATCATGTTCAGAGAGAGAGAGAGAGAGAGAGAGAGAGAGTGTACAAGCAGGAGAGAAAAAGGGAAGGAGCGATACGGTTTGTTGTCATTCTGTTGGTCATTACATTCCACCTTTAAGGGTCATTCTAAAACACTTTAAGAGAAAAACACTCAATGTGGCTTTATGTACTAAAACAATTACAGAGGAGAAGCTAATTTCTCTTAAACATTACTTTGAGAGAAAACATGTTTTATATTAAGCACTTTCTTTACTATTAAAGCCCATTATAGCTTAACATGCCAGAATTGTTCTCAAACTTAAAAACCACAAATTAAAGCATGAAAGTATTATAACCAAAACAAAGAGAACAGTTAATTAATTATAAAGAAGAGCCTTAATATATAGTTATTTTGTGTCATTTACCACATTGTTCTTTTTTGCCATAATCGTGTATATTACAAGTAAAAGGAGTTTGTTTCTTAACCCTATAAAGCCTACTGTATCATATTCTACTACATGCTTTCTGTCACCTGATTGATAGTTTATAACTTTTTTTTGGCAAGGAAATGGGTGAATAATAAACTATACTTTCATGCAACTATATTTCATGCAAGTAATCTGCTATACCACATTCATCTTACTGTTTGGACATAATATGCATTTATATATATATAATGTGACTGCATACATAATTAATGTGACTGGGGCCTCTGTTCTTCAAATTGAACAAAACATAAACATCTGTAACTGCCACAAATGAAGCCTACCTGATGTAAAATTGTGACTCATAAAGCAGCTAATTTTGTTGGCAAATTCTAAATATATAAATGCATCATTGCAGACAAGCTGAAGATTAGCAACCAAGCAGTCAACTTATTAAGTGAAGAGCTGAATCCACACAAAAACAGTTTATTCAGTTCATTAAATCATCTCCTCTACTGACTTCCATTCAAAACAACAGTCTCTTTTGGTCTAAATTTGTCTCCCAGACGATACATCCAGATATACAGCAAAAAGTAATCCATTTTATACATCCTAAGCAAAATCAGTATTAGATTATAGTCAGATTGCATAAGCCATATTGCATCTGTAAGTACATTCCTTTTGTCTACACACATCTGATAACCCATAACAGCACATCCAGGGATGGCAGAGGATCCCCAAATCCAGGTGTGAAAAACTTGTTGCATCTTTCCCAAAAAGACTCATGGCTGTATTAGATCAAAAGGGTGCTTCTACTAAATACTGAGCAAAGGGTCTGAATACTTAGGACCATGTGATATTTCAGTTTTTCTTTTTTAATAAATCTGCAAAAATGTCAACAATTCTGTGTTTTTCTGTCAATATGGGGTGCTGTGTGTATATTAATGAGGAAAAAAAATTAACTTAAATGATTTTAGCAAATGGCTGCAATATAACAAAGAGGGAAAAATTTAAGGGGGTCTGAATACTTTCCGTACCCACTGTATATATATATATATATATATATATATAATTTTTAACACGAGAAGCCTCTCTGTTTTACGTAAATATGTTTAGAGAGTGAAAGAATAATATATCATGTAAGAAATGCTACGTTTTAATGTCACATTGCTGACAATTGATCATTATAACACTGATTTTGTACAAACTTTGTGATTGAAGTTGTTAACAGTTGATATGAATCTTAAGTTTTCCAGAAATACCCATACTTCTTTCAAACTATCATGCAATCATGTCTGATACGGATATCTACAACCGATAAATGCAAGTACGAGCAGCAAAGTTTAAACTGTCAGTAGTTTCAGACAAACTGGCCCCTGATCTCATTACTGCAGTAGACATGGCAGTTGACATCTTTTTAGTGAACAGTGATGTGGTCTATGTGTTAATAAGGTCAGAGAGCAGACGGAACATGAGCGAGATGGACAATGTGGCTAAAAGAGCCTGGCACTGATGATTAATGCTAAGCTGGCACTATAGTGGGCCCTGCCTGTCTCCACATTGAGGGGGAAAAAAGATGAAAACATGGGCCTTTAGAAATTGCTGGCGGAAGGTTTGATGCCTGAGGGATGTGGTTTTAGAAGGTGTTGAATATGTTGTATTTGTGAGGCTTGTTCAAAGAGGTTCCAGTGTGAGCGGGACAGCAAACGGGCTAATTTGCCAGTGTATTATATTTCCCATCATTTCAATTTCAAAGTGCTGCATTAGCGAGCAGCAGGGATGAAAGGACTGATGAGCATTCTTCGCGCCGAGGCTGCCATCAACATCCTTCAAGCCCGGCCCCTCATCAACCACAGCGTGTCAGCAGAATTATAGAGCGTCTCTATGTGCAAATGAACTCAAATGCTGCCCGCTACCGTCCATGGACGCCTTTGGTACCAACCAGCAAATTACAAATTTTGTGTTTAATCAATAATTCATTTTCCAGCTCTTTTTGTGTGCACGGCTAACACACGAAGGGCCAGCGGATAAACTCGGCAGGAAAACACGTTATGTATTCAAATCCTTTCATGTAGAGTTTTCACGAATATGCTTAAATTCTTAAAACTGTCAAAATAAGAGCAACAAGTAGTAAAATACAATTCTTCTGCCAATGAACTACAATAGTCAGGATGAAAAAAGAAAGTAACTGATCTCATTGTTTAGGTTTTTGGTGTTTTTTGGCACCAGACTATTTAAAAAAATAAAAAGCCAACTATATATTTTCTAGTTTATGGGACCTTTTGAGTCCCAAATACTAATACATTTGAATTAATTGAAGTGACATAAAAACCCATGTTAGACCAACAGAACTCCCCCAAACTAGTTGTCCCAACTAATTTTCTGAACAAAGAATTTCAAACTGAACAATATTGTTGAAACCTTAAAGGGGTCATATTATGCGATTTCAATTTTTCCTTTCTCTTTGGAGTGTTACAAGCTCTTGGTGCATAAAGAAGATCTATAAAGTTGCAAAGACTAAAGTCTCAAATCCAAAGAGATATTCTTTATAAAAGTTAAGAGTCAGCCACGCCTATCTAAAATGGCTCGTTCTAACACGCCCCCACATACCTATGTCACTATGTGGGAAGATTTGCATAACGCCGCCCAAATGTTCACGCAAAGAACGAAGGCATAACTTTTATTCTCGCTGTAGTACTGTTGTTGCCGCCGCCATGTCGTGAAGGCACTGCGTGATTCGTTGTGAAAGCGAAACTACTTTGTTTGGCCTTCCAAAAGAGGACGATATCTGCTTTGTCATGCCTGGAGCTGATCTGTGCTGGTTACTGAGGAAATACTACAACTTTGCGCTGTGGATCGCCGGATCGGCTTTCACCGGGGATGAAGCGGAGTCCAGCCCGGGGTCATCCCATGTGGTTGCCGCAAGCCCGCCAGACGCTCCTTCGTCGAATCCACCGCCCCTACTCACTCTAGTCCTCCGGCCATTCCACACTTTATCCCCCGGCCTCTGCTCACTCTAGGCCGCCATGTGTGACGCTGTGTTTCGTTGTGAAAGCAAAACTACTTTGTTTGGCCTTCCAAAAATGGACACGACTAGAAATCAGTGGTTAAGTTGTATTTACAACACTGTTCCAGAACACTTCAACCCAAATATTCAGATGTGTGCAGCACATTTTATGGAGGACTGTTTACTGATCTTGGGAGAGTAGACAACAATGCCGGCTGTTCTGACTCAAAGACTAAGTAAGTTTTTTTATATTTAAAGAGTTTTTATATTTTATATATTTAAAGTGAGTTTTTGGGCAGTGTAGAGTAGGGCTTGTTGTTTCTCCGATCACAAATGCAGACATGGTTTTATGTTTACGGGGTGCGATGCAAAGCAACACGTAAAAAGACAGTATAAGTCATTATAATCCATAATTATGTCCCCACTGGATGCAACGAATGCCTCGTTTATAATGGGTTTTCATGTTTTTGAATCATCGCTCCGGCCTGACAGGGCATCACAATATGGTAAGTCACACGATTGAGGTATTCGGCCAATCACAACGCACTGGATAGCTGGCCAATCACAGCACACATCGCTTTTTCAGACCGATGAGCTTTGTAAAAATCGACGCGTTTCAGAAAGGCGGGGCATAGAGGAGAAACAATAATGTACAGTATGTGGAAAATAATGTGTTTTTTTTAACCTTAAACCGCATAAACACATTTAATTACACCAAATACACAAAATAATGTTCTTTTTAGCAGCATCATATGAACCCTTTAAGGGTTTGTGAGTTCCCAGCATGAATAAATTATGGGTTTACTGTTACAGGATTATTGTTTCGCTGTTTGCTGACTTAAAAAAAAATATGGTTGATGTTTTGTCATTATTGATAGTCATTTGTTGTGTTGTAATGTTAACAGATCTTTTTTTACATTAGGTGTTTGTCACCGTTCTTGAGGTTTGTGTGTCAAGTGTAGTATTAATTTTCCTATAAACAGTATAAAACAATATGATATAAATTAATATATAAAATATAAACAATATTATTATTATTTAGGACAATTTGTAAGACAATAGTTGAGAAAACCTAAAATCTGAATATCAAATTGTGTTGATTATTTAAAGTTTTCTAAATACAGTGCAATACAGTGCAAGGCTGAGCAGGGAAACCAGCTTAAATCGGGTAAAACTACCAAACTGGCTCCTTTTTTAACAGAGGTTTTTATACACAATTTGAATGTAAAATCAGTTACCTCAGACAATCATTGTACATACTTATATTATTGTAGCTGACAGAAAAAAATAATTCATATCACTCACAGTTTGTCACATTTGGAATTGGCAGAAATGTAAATAATTTATGTTGTTTTCACAGTAAATCACTGTATTCTCGACAGTTCCCTACTGTACAATTTGCACACATTATGGTACTGTAAATTTTGTTTTCATATTATTATTACTGCATTCTCAGCAGTTTCCTACTCTATACACTGTATACAGTATACTACTGTAGATTTTCAATTAATTATGGGAAAATATCAGCCAACTGTAAATATAAATACAGTAGCACCAAATGACCGCGAAAAACAACCACACACCTCCTCGTGCAGCGGCTCTGTGACAGGTGAAGATGAAAGCCCACGAGAGTAGGCTATGGTAGGTTAACTTAAATATTCGACTTTTAAATCACTTTATACATTTTATTTTGATTTTCTTCCCACAGCGGTGCTAGCAGACCAGCGGGGAGGCTTGTGAAGATGAAAAGCCATGTGAGTAGGTTAAATTGGTAGGTCATCTTTACAACACATGCATTCACCTTATGAAGTCTGAATAAAGCTGTTGATGTGAAGCAATAACTTGTGTTATTGAATATATAACAAAATATAAATAAAATAAAAAATATAATAGTATAATGCTGTACTTTGTTTTTACAGTATGCTTAAAACTACTGTGCATTTACAGTGATTTTACTGTGGTTTGAAATCCAGCAGCTTCTGGATACTTGTTGCCAGTAAGTTACTGTTAATTTGACAATAAATATTTTACAGTGAGGGCTTTGTCAAAACCCTCTGCCTCTCCGGACTCAATCTTGTTTTATCAAAGTGACGTTTACAATCGGCATCAGCTTAAAAGACCTTTTAGTAGCTTAGTTACCAAGCCAACTAGGAAGAATATCTAGGAACTGAAGGTTATTAGTAAGCTTTCATTTTTTTTGCCTGACAGTGAATTAGTAAAACAATCTTCCCTGAGGTGGTTTTAATCTCAGCTGGTTGAATAAATAAAATAAAATAAACATAAAAACACTAGACTGCATGTTTGACGTCTATCTGTCTTCTGGCTTCTCAAGCCAGAAATTCATTCTTTCTACAAGTTGCAACAAAATGACAAACTGAAATCCCCCAAGTAGGAGCAGAAGAAAAACAAGTCCACGAAAAGCAAAGAAAAATTAAAGCATGAATCGATAACACCTGTAGTGAAGTTTCCATGATTTTGCAAGACTCGAGCAGCTCAACACCTGATCAATGAGAACATCTAGAAATTGGTTTCTGTGCTGAAATAGGCACCTCAGTCTCTATGAGTGATCTTTTTTATCTTTCTCTGCTTTGGGTCAATGTGAAGCTCTTTGGGTTTATGTAAGCCAGACATGACTATTCAATTGCTAATTTGCCAACTTCAGAACATCATAAGCTTTCTACAGCCTGGCCGAGTCTGATACAGATCTGCTATGCACAGAGAAAAATAAATCAAATTAATAAATACATTATTTTTGACCGTAAGTATAAAAGATTGATTTTTTTAGCAATTTTTTGCAATTTTAGTTACTGGTTATTGAAAAATAAGAGTTTCAATAACTTTTTAAGTGCAATAAAAAAAATAAAAAAGGGATTTTTCTAAATTGCAGCCCTAAAACCAATATAATTAGATTATGTTTTACATAAAATAAAAATAAATGAAATAAATAAATAATAATAATAATAATAATAATAAAAATGTTCAGCATAAACAGAAACGGAAAGATAAAAGCTTTGATGACTAAGTAGTGCTGCATTGTGGGCCAGGAGTTTCTGCTTTCAAGCCGTTCCAGCATTTATTTGGGGATTAACAGCAGCTGACGGGAATGAGTTCTTACTGACACATGTAAATAGATTTGTTGCAGAGTGAATCAGACAGATTTCATAGAAAAAGACATGAAGTCTTATCCCATCCTCTCTGGGCTTAAAAAAAATAAATAATGTAAATTCTGTCAATTTACTCACTCTCATGTTTTTTCAAACCTGGATGAGTTTCTTTCTTCTGTGGAACACAAAAGAAGATATTTTGAAGAATGTTGATAATCAAACAGTAACGGTTCCCACTGACTTCCACTTCCATTTTTTGTCCATACAATGGAAATCAAGGGGAACCGAAACTGTTTGGTCACCAACATTCTTCAAAATATCTTCTTTTGTGTTCTACAGAAGAAAGAAACTCATACAGGTTTGAAACAACTCTACAGTAAATGGTCACAGAATTTTCATTTTTGGATGGACTGTCCCAGGGTTCCCACATCCTGGTTAACTTCAAATTCAAGGACCTTTCAAGGACTTTCCAGGTCCAATACCCTCTAATTGTGGGGACACATTTCAAGTGAGAGCAAGGTTACATCATGTTACCTTGTAAGATACATTGTTACAGTTTTCATTTTTCAGTTTTTTTTTTTTTTGCTTTTTTTTTGGCCATATGACAGAGATCTGATATTATTTTTGTCGCATTTCTGTTTTGCATAAAACTGAAGAATATTCGGTACATCCTATACTGCAGTGCTTCTCAACAGGTTTGGCCATGGGACCCACATTTTCCCATGGTCATCAAGCCGTGACCCACTTTATGATATATGTACAGGTGCATCTCAATAAATTAGAATATCGTGGAAAAGTTCATTTATTTCAGTAATTAAATTCAAATTTCCATATTTCAATCTGCAGCGAGGGCTTTGGAAACAACGGCATCCATATTTTTTTATGTCTTATGAAGTATTCTAATTTGTTGAGATAGTGAATTGGTGGGTTTTTGTTAAATGTGAGCCAAAATCATCACAATTAAAAGAACCAAAGACTTAAACTACTTCAGTCTGTGTGCATTGAATTTATTTAATACACGAGTTTCACAATTTGAGTTGATTTACTGAAATAAATTAACTTTTCCATGACATTCTAATTTATTGAGATGCACCTGTATATATAGTTTAAAAAAGACTAAAAATTTATTTCACAAAAATTGTTGACGCACACAAGTACTGTCCCCCTTTACTTAACATACACATAAATTGTAAGAATATGACTAATACCGATGAATAAACAGCCTATAAGGTAAGGCTATTAAATAGCAGTCCCAAACTAGTTTTTGTTAATACAATTAAGTTGGTATGAGCCACCACAGTCATTTAAACATACAAAAACACAAAGTGAAAATAGCATGGCGTTTTTGGGTTATGGAAACAACAGTTACCATGGTGAATACACAATACTAACACAAACTGTTATTAAAACTGCTCCTGAATAGAATGAATATCATACCTTCATGCAAATCCTTCCCAGCTAACACACAAAGTACCAGTTATGTGATTTATTGGTACTTTACTTTTATTTCACACGTTGCATGCTCGTAGTTTCTTTTGCGCTTTAGTGAAATGCTATACAGCGTGTGCCGCCACATTTGTGTGTGCAATTGAAGAGTATGTTACAACCACAGTATAACGTCTGACAGGAGGATAGTTCATTTTTCTGAGGTGAGAGACTTTTTATTTCATATCAAGCTACAAAAATAACGATAGAATAATGAGATTGACATTAAGCCTGACAACATCCAATCTGTCCGCAGATACTGAATCAGGACAGCACATTTTCTCAGGCAGTCTTTACTTAAACTGCAATAAAATTGTCAACAGCTTTCACGCACAGCTTTCAAAATAAAATTCTTGCATCAGAAAATCATTTAGAATTACTTTTTTTGTTGTTGATGTTGTTTCTTTGACTGTACACTCCACGACCCACTCAGAACTAGGGGTGGGAATCTTTAGGCACTTCACGATCCGATCCGATTCTGAGAGTCACGATCCGATTCCAAAACGATTCTTGATCTACATTTTTTCCTAATTAATTCTTCTGCTGTGCAAATACATCTTTACAATTTTACATTTTAACCAAAACTGCAGTTTCTATGCTTTTTGTTTATAGTTGGAATCTCTGTATGAAAGTACTGCCAACTTAAAAATAGCTAGGGGTGTGAATCTTCACTGGTTTCACGATTCAATTCAATTATCATTATCAACTCAATATCACGATGTGTCACATTCTCAGTTCTCAATATTACTGCACATGGCTACATTTTCATATAAATTTTATGTCAAATTTAATTTGCACAAACAGACTACTTTTTAAAACAATTACTTATTTAAAATAAGTGTTCTTTAAGTATCCGAGAGTTTACAGACAATAGGCTAGTTATGGGGTTTTCTTTTTTCCTCAGCATTATTGCCATTTGATTATTGATGAGATCATAGACAGTGGCAGCTTTAACAGGCTGCATTTACACTAATGCACAGATCTATTTCCATATATCAGATGTTCTGTCCTGCTCTGAAAATATAACTGACTGTATTTACATCAATTTCACATAAAAGTATCCGGAGATGCAAGTGCATTTAACCGCAGCCGCGATCGAGCTTCAGGACAACTAACACAAAGCGCACGTGAAAGTCTGTCAGTGTGCGAGTTTCGTGCATCTAATAGTACTGCATTCCAAACGGCATAAATTAATGCATATCTAAAGTAAAATACTGAAATAACGGCGGGTGGAAGCACTCACTGTCAAGCAACGCGCACGTGTCTCACAGTGCAAATTCTGTGCAATGAAGCCCGCCATGTCTCTAGCACGCACGTGCCATTTGCGGGGGAAAAAAACAAGCTCAGATAGAATTGCGATGCATCGGAGAATACATTTTTTTCTCCCACCCCTACTCAGAACGGTCTTGCGACCCACCAGTTGAGAAACTGCTATACTGTATTCTAAAATGATCTGATTTTAACTTTTGCATGGATTTGATTGAAAAAAGCATAGGCTCATGTAACCAGAAGTTTTAAGATACATGAATATGTTTTTAAGTTTTTCTTGCCTCATGGGTTTACATTATCTTAACAAGCAAAGCAATTCAACATTAATTTCACGGTGTGTCTGTGAAACGTTGAGGTACCATCGTAGTAGTTTCGTGCGAGTGTGAACGTCATGTCAGCGTACAATACAAAGTACCTCACGCAGGAAACACTTAATGTAACGCGTAAATGCACATAACTAACGTAAATCAAGCACGCTAGTATGCATAGGCCACGAAGTGTTGGAGAAATAACACATTAGCGGACCGGAGGGAATAATATGGAAATTCTTTCCAGAAAACTTTTTGCACAAAATAAATTCAAGCACTTTGAAGGACCTGTATCTATGTACGTTTATTTTCAAAAACTTTCCAGGGCCTTGAAAAATTATTTTTCAGATTCACAAAATTTCAAGGACCCGTGGGAACCCTGCTATCCCTTTAAGAGAGTTTGTAAAAGGCATGGAAGCCAGCAAATGTGATAATTAGATAGAACAAAAACTATAATAGAACAAATAAATGGCTCCTCCTATAAAGATCTTGACTCTCATTGGCAATTTACGCAGGTAACCGCCCACACGGTGCTAAACCAGTGAAGGCTAATGAACTAGCAAATTAGGCCCAGAAAGCTTTAATTAGTATCAAAGTATGTCAAACTGATGGCTGGCCATTTATCTGCTCACCTCTAACCTCATCTTTTTGATGACTTGAAAAGAGCAGGCCAATAAAAGACAAAAGGAAAATGAATATAGATTTTCTCACTCAAGTGACCGAAGCAAATGATTAAGTAGTTCATCACAAGAAAATATAGAATTCTTCCCACGGAGGAATCGACCTGTCCTATAGATACATTAAAAATCTGGCAGGAAATCGTTAGGCATACGCGGAGCAATAGATTGTGTGGAGGATGCCCAACAATTGATCATAATTTCTAAGGGCTTGTACGTGTGAGGGGTGGAACTACAGCGGTACAGTGAGGAGCCAGAAGCTACGAGAGGAAAACACCACCAAAAAAATCCATCTCAATGCATTTCAATGTGGCATGCTGAAGGTAATGTGCTAGAATCTAAATTGCATTGGTTCACATCAACCATGAATGATTTCACATCTGCACTGATTACACACAATTGAGCAAATTTAAGCTGTAGCGCACACCTCTCGTTAATGTGCCCTCGATCACAATAAGTAATCTGTCAACACAACCGCCCAGCACTACTCTAGGAGAATAAAAAGACATGGTTGCAGTGGCACTACTTCAAAACTACCAAAAAAATGGCTGCATCAATAGCAATAGCAAAATAATATTTGCAAAATTAGCAATCTTAGCAACCTTGTATTCAAACGAACCAAAAAACTAACAAGCCAATAAATAATTAGGCCTATTTGTTAAAAAATGTTTAATATGTATGTATGTGTGTGTATGTGTATATGTATATAATGTATATATTACTATTAAAATGTATTATCATTATTATTTAAAAACCTTTAAAGACTGTTGAATGTAAATTATATATTATATTATATTATTATTATAAAAAGACTACTATATACATATTATTATTATATTATATTCCATAATGTTATATTTTAATTTAAGGTTTTCTATTAAACATATTTTTGAATTATTAGAATAGGTCATTATATTTGTACAACGTGGGCTATTCAGTCACAAGGCTCCAAATTACAGCAGTGTACTCAACAAATGACCCGTGCTGAGGGTGGACAGAGTCCTTGTACGTTTCCCTGTGCAAATCTCCCCAAGAGGCGCGCAACAATCATTCCATACACCTCCCACACAGAAGAACAGGTAAGCTCACAGTTGCCATGGAAGCACACTTCACCTGCCCACTCAAAAACCCCTCTTTATTTTCCTTTTCGGTTAATGTACCAGGTCAGAAAAGAGCAGGTAGATGGACACCAAAACTAGTTATCAAGCACTAAGACCCATCTGCCGCTTGAGTCTGTTTTGTGTGTTTATCATAACACCATTACACGACATCTGGCTATTTTAGGGAAATCAGAAAACAAACAGACAGGAAAATGTCAGAGGGTAGAATGAAAAAAAAGTAGACAAAAGAGAGTAATAAACCTGTTAAGAAAGAAAGACTGCTGTACGAAACAACTATATTTTGATTTTGCTCACAATGTGAGCACTCCTACAAGAGACAGAGAGGGAAAGAAGACAAACAGAGAGGCCAATTGAAAGACACAAAGCAAATGAGTGAGCCGAGGGAGCTGGTGTGTCTGTGTCTCCCCTCAGGCTGAGCTTTAGTTCAGACTGACCATGTGAGACAGTGATTGCTGGGAGGAATCGGGGTTTGGTTGCAGGGTCCGTGCCTCAGCACAGCTTTCCATTTGTCTGAGAGAGTAGCTGTGCTAGCAAACCCCTCTGACCACCTCTCTGCTGCTAACACACAAACAGCACTGATGACTATTACACAATTACACACCAATTACCACACTACCACCTTCAGACGACTGTATCTACAACACGGCTGACACTAACCGCATGCTTTGAAGAGAAGAATACATAGTTGGGTGAATCGCATGAAAACAAGTCCAGGTCATATTTCACCCAAAACTTTAATGGGAAAATTAAGACATTTTATTTGGCATGAATAAAATAAAGTCCATATTAAGATTATTTAGACTTAAGTTAGATTAGGCAATTAA